ACAAATGGGAAATGAATGCAAGTGGAAATGCGCTTTATGTAAATCGTTTACGATTACTTTTTGACTTGTTAAACTTCTAATAGCATCTCGTACTTCAATCTCACTAACCTGGTTAAAGGTGAAATTTTGATTACCAGAAGTAGAGGTAAGAAAATTTGTATACAAAAAACTGTTTTTGTTTACAGATTTATTTACCGTATCTTGAATAACATTAATGAAAAAATCGTTGAATTGTTCAGCCGTAGTGTTACAAATCTGGTCGGATTTGTAACGACCGCGGAAATTATTTCGAAAGCTATTAACAATATTCCAGCACGCTTTACTTTTATTTTCATTTTTATTAATATAATGGTTATAGTAAGCTTGCTTCGCACAAAGTATAGATTTTCTATATTTGTTTCTGTACACTGATACAGAATTAATGGTCACAAGGAAAGGGTATTTTTGATTCATGTCGCGTAGATGTTGTAACTTTTCACGCATTAGTTTTAGGTCCTTTGTAAACCAGTTTTGTAACTGAGAACAATTTAGAAATGTTTAGGGAAAGTTTCCATTGTCACAAAATCAAATATAAAAATCCGATACAACTGAATACCGAACGATCCTGGAGTGAAACATTTTGACTCGGTAGTCTACGTAACTTAAAACAAGTTAAAAAGTAATCGTAAACGATTTACATAAAGCGCATTTCCACTTTGTAAGATGCAACTTCTGTTAAAATCGTAAAAATCCGGCCACAAATATGAAAGATAGCGTTGCACATGGGCAATCCATTGTTGACGTGCTACTTCAATTTCAGTTTATGAAAAGAATTTCATTTCAATGCTTTTCTAAATAAGAAAGTTGGAACTGCGCATGCGCAAACCTAAATTTTAAAACTAATGTTAGATTTTCCTTTGTTCCAAGCGCCTAAGTATCAAATTTCACTTAAATAGTTCCATAGATAAAAAAGTTGGCCCTGCGCATGCGCAAAATAAAATTTTGAAACTGGCGCTAGATTTTCCTTTATTCCAAGTGCCTATGTATCACATTCCATTTAAATTCTTCCATAAATAAAAAAGTTGGCACTGCGCATGCGCAAAACCAAATTTTGAAATTGGGGTTTGATTTTCCTTTATACCAAGTGCCTATGTATCAAATTTCGTTTAAATTCTTCCATAAATAAAAAAGTTGGCACTGCGCATGCGCAAAACCAAATTTTAAAATTGGCGTTTGATTTTCCTTTATTCCAAGTGCCTATGTATCAAATTTCATTCAAATACTTTTATAAGTAAAAAAGTTTGCAATTCGGTTTATAAATGGTCGAGATGCGAAAAGGGCACTGTGAATTTGGAATCGATTCGATTCAACTTTTGGCATTGCGTATTATATGGCTAAAGCTATGCCCATATTGAATTTCATGCAATTCAGTTCATAACTAACGAAGATGTAAAAGCGATCGAACATTTCTAAACAAAGTTATCGTTCACACGGACAGATAGATGGACAGACAGACAAAGGAACAGACGGAGAGACCAACCGGCAGGCGACAGATAACAATGCAAAATTATAAACGATCTCTAGGATCGTTAATAAACGGAAAAAGTGTAAAATTATGGAACATGTAAAAAACGGTTTTTTTGTTTTTTTTACAATAACTTTTTTTGTAAGCGGTACAGAAAAAATTCCTTCCTTGGTACAAGACTCGACACCGTAACGAACCAAATAGCGAAAAAAGTAGAACAATAGCTCTTAAGATAAAGAACTACTAGCGTCGCAAAACGAGCGGACGGACGGACGGACGGACAAAGTGGCCACAATAGCGCATTTTTTTTTTATTTTTGTGGAAATGCGCTAAAAATTATCTGGCGTCGCTAAACTGGATTGATCTATACGAAATTTTGCCATGCAATGTTAATCAACAATGGAATCTATTTATGAATACGTTTTCTATGCTGTTTAATGAGCTTTCCGTTAGTGAGCATTCCCAAATTATCAAAAACATGTGACTCATGGTATAATTCGGAAACAGAGGTTGGACGTCTTCCTCGTTGCAAAACATCACGATGCTGCTCTAAACTCTGCTTACTTACAAGCCAGGAAACAATACTCTAGCCTCCTCCAAGAGGGTCTTTGGCAGTTTTATGCCGATAAGATACTTAATTCTGACAATAAAACCAAAACAGTGTGGCAAATCATAAGGTGGTTAAAAACTACCCAATGTCTATTTGTAAATGAAATATCCGTCGGAAATTTCAATGACTTTTTAATGAAGAATGTATCGCAATTAAAGGGAACAATCCCAGCGATAAACTACAAATATTGAATTAGTCCTAACCTTAACTCCATTTTCCTTACGCCCGTCTCTGTTCCTGAAATCTACGAGATCATTATGAAACTTAAAAATAAATATTCAAGTGGTTACGAACTTACGATGGCATTTCTAACCATATTATAAAATTTTGTGCAGAAGAATTATGCGAACCTCTACAATACATTGTTGACAATTCTCTAAAGTACGGTATTTTCCCAGATGGGCTAAAAATTGCTCTAATTAAACCAGCATACAAAAATGGAGATCAAGGGAACATGTCTAACTATCGACCTATCAGTATTCTTCCATCCTTTTCCAAAATTTTTGAACGTGCGATGTATAACAGGATAACCACTTTTTCCACGAGGAGAAATTGTTCTCCGAATCACAACATGGGTACCTTAGAGGGAAATCTATAACAACAGCTGTTTATCAATTCGCCAGTACGGTACAACAATCCTTTGAGAATCACGAAATGGCCCTTGGTCTATTCCTGGACCTTTCGAAGGTCTACGATCTGGTAGACAGGGATATTCTATTAAGTAAATTGTTTAAATACGGAATCCGAGGTGTCGCTTACAACTGGATTCAGTCCTATTTTCAGAATAGGCTTCAGAAGGTCATCACAATGAATCAGCACTTCACCGATGAATCAAATTTTGCCTCTACCCACTACCCAGACAGGAATACCCCAAGGTAGTATAATCCGAGCGTTATTATTCATCATTCTGATCAACGACATTGTTCAATCACTACATTTAGAAGATGGAATCGTCATTAATTATGCTGACGATTCTAACATTCTCATCCGCTCGAAACACTACGACAATCTCTGTGCGGAAACAGGTCGAGCATACAACTGCTTAAAGTTATATTTTCATACGAATAAACTCCTGCTGAACGAGAAGAAGACAAATTGTGTTCTTTTCGCGATGAAACCTCTCTCGCGTATAAAACTAACTTTTTGGGTGTAACCTTGCAAGCGGATCTGAAGTGGACGGAACATATCCATTGCGTGTGCATGAAGCTAAACTCTGTGATTTATTGATTGAGAGTGATGAGAAGACACGTAGGTTCAGATACGCTTAAAGCAATCTACCGTGCTAATTTTGAAAGTCGCTTACGTTTCGGTATAATATTTTGGGGCCAAAGTGCTTGTAGTCATAAAGTCTTTGTTACCCAGAAATGTGCTGTAAGAACTATATTTGAACTATCACGTAGAGGCTATTTTAGACAGCATAACATATTCACGTTGGTTTCAGTTTACATTTACGAGCTACTTATGTTTATGGAAAAGCCCCGAACTGAACGCGTCATTGATCATGTGGGAGTGGGAAAGAGGTTTAACGATATAGCCGGCGATGTTGTACAGGATATGGCAGTATGGCACGGAATGCCATCTGCACCTGCTGATTGTTTCTTCGAGAACTGTGTTATTATATTGAAGAATTCCTCCTCTGTGACGGGATTGAGAAAAACTGACTGACTGGAACACCTGGACAGTCCATCCTAATTCCCATTATTTATCCTTGAGAATTTATCAGCGATAAGAGCTATGCTGTCAATAAAATGGTCGTTGTAGATTTTACAGAGGGCGAGGATGTCACGCACGTACCGGCCGTATTGAATTATTGTGATTTCCGATTTTTTCGTTGTCCGACTGATAAACCATTGATTAGTTTCCATTGTTGGACTTTCTGATAAGATTATCGTTATACTCTCGTTTGGTAAGAATGATCTTACGTACGATGTTTTTAAGCCTTCATAGGTAAGCAGCACATCTTGGTCACCGGTTAGCTTCCCTACGATGTAGATCTTTCAGTCATTTACTCGTAGCTTTGATTTCCGACGTGATCCATTTTGGCCTTGCAGTTTCTTTCTCCAAGTTCTTGCGCGTTGTATTGGTCTTTATAAATATCAACAAAGACTTTTAAATTAATTACTAATTACGTCTTCTTAGTCACTGTGCTAACTGGATCACTGGGTCCGTAAGTTATGCGCATCTTGATTCAGATACTGTTTTAAAATCAGCACTCGTGCTTGAAAAACATGATTAGGTATACACCAGTAGTATAAATACGAGGCGACGTAATCTTATGACCTCATATCTAACAGCTGTGAATGAGCTATACATAATTTCGCACAATAAAATTAAAGTCATGGGCATGGACAGTAGAAGGAGGTTTCCAAAAACGGGATGAGAATGAGTTCTGAAATTGTTTACATATGTTGTTTGCTGGAATGTTTTCGTTAAAATAAATAACGTACCTACTCCTAGACGCAACAGACCTTCCATTTTTAGGATTGGCGTAAAACAGATAAGATGTAGGTATCATCTAATATATGTAACGGTTCATTTTCGTATCTAATTTAATACACTTTTCTTATCTAATTCGTTCCTCTTAGTAATACTATACACCTTGACTTCTATGTGTTGTGGGTTGCTCTCTAATTTTCTGTTAGTGCTTTTCCGTTTTCGAACTTTCTTTCTTGTATTCTTTTCTTGATAAGCTAATTTCCTTCTGATAACATTCTTTTCGGTGATTTTCCTGTTTCCTGCGGACATTTTTTGGCAAGTGCACATTTTGTAATCTGAGAGTGATTTACCAATTTCCTGAGCTATTACCAATCTTCATACGAAGGAATATTCAAGAATTTGGGCCAGACAAATAGAATAGCTACCCGTATTTAGTCGGAGGTTTTTTTTGGTTGCCTCAATTGGGTAGTATTCCATATCGCTTTATGCGGACCTAAAATCGCTTAATCTTCAGCTCGCCTACCAACTTAGAGGTTCGTGCTTACCTTTTAGTCCCGTGTCTATAGCAATATAATCTTTTAGCTTCTTCGTATATGTGAAACTTGGGAGCCGTATCTGTTCCGATTTTACTTCAAACTTGTTTTCTACGTGTTGTCGCTGCCCGATTTATGTTCTTCGTTTGTGTCGCCGTGTTCAGCCGTGATATCGACCTGTCTTTGGACGCCTACACCAACTTCAGTTCCCGCACCACCAGAGCCACTTAGGGGTACATTAAAGGAGCCCAAAGGTCAGCGTTGTGTGTGCTGTACACTATTATTTGTTGACCTACATTAGTGAAGATGGTTTGACCCCCTACACCTACTTACTTTCCTTATCCTTGCTTCCTTAATTCCTTCCAATTTTTTTTTTCTCCTTCCCCGTGTATCGAGAACTTCCTAATTCCCTCTCTGTAAATCCTAAGTTACTTGTTGTTGTTGTGTTATTTAAATTTTGTGCACTAAAACTTTATTATGATTTAATTATAATTTTTTTTGCGGTTACGTACCGAATTTGACAGAAAGTTAGAAGTGTAGTAGAGCCACTGATAAATCGGTGGTTGAGCACAGCTCACGAAAGTAGTTTTTTTATCTTTTTTTTTATTAGTTCACATGTTAATTAACTTGCATTTTTTTTTTAATTGTATTTTGTTTTTGTGAAACCGGACACAAGGTAAGTTGCTTGAATTGTAGAATACCCAAGGTAAGGTACATATGAACGGGGGTTTATTGATACAGAAAGGCCTTTCCCCAAATTACCCTCTTGCTTCAAGTCAACTGAACTATTCAATTACCACTCTGCACCTACTCACTTATTTAAAAAATTATTACTACGTTTCATACAGACTTGTGAACGGTTGGTTACCTTTTTTTTTTTTATTTATTTCCCTCAAATATTTTGTCAGTTTTTTTCATTTGATATTGTTGAATTTATTTAATTCTTACCATTACGTGCGGTTATTGATTTTCAAATATATGCTTCTGCTTTCCTCCTCCTTATCTTTTGTTTTCTTGCGTGTTATATTGTCCCCTTTCTTAGCTTACTGGCTGATCACGACTCTACATCCTGCTTGTGAAGCGAGGGCAGGATCAACTCAGATTTGCTGGCGGAGATTAGTTAAGCTTCTGGCGCCCTATTTAGTAACTTCTAGATTTACCCTCGACCTATCCGACGAGCGAGCCGAAGCAAATCCTTGCACCATCGCCGGAAGTTTTTAGTGTGAATTTCAATTGTTTCTTCTATTGTCCGTCCGTGGCAAGGAATTTTGGCACCCAACGTGAGTGGCCCGAGGTTTTTTTCTCCTTGCTTGTTTGTGTTTGTTTTAATTATTTTTGAACATGGAGATTAATCGTTTGAGGTCTGATGAATTAGTCCATGAATTGTTAATCAGAGGAGTTGAATGCGGTAATACTGTCAACGATAACCGTGCATTATTGCGTAGATTTTTCTTTACCGAAACATTACCCACCGTCACGATAGATTCTGATTCCGAATTAAAAATTTGTAACCATAAATTAGATGAGCTGAAGCAAGACATTGATGGATTTGATGCTTGCAATGCAGCCAATGATTTCCAAAAAATAAATTCTCGTTTGATTCATGTCCAAGGCAGGCTTCAACGAATTATAGTAAGCGATGAGAATAGAATGGTACTTCAAGAACGTTTACTCACCTACTGCGGTCAACTACAAGCGCGATTAACCCGAGTATTCAATAATGAGGTAACCAGACAATCTCAGTCCACACCTAGAACCATAAATTTAATTGATACACCTAATACGTCAATTTTGATAGAACCTACCGAAACCCCTCAGCCTGTTCGCACTACAGCGGAGGACTTAATTAATTTATTTGACTACCCTCTGCTTGCATCTACGAACCTTACAAATCAATCGATGGCTCACTCAGTGACACGTACAGAACCATCTGCTGAACCTGTAGCTTCTTCATCACCTTACCGGCGTCGCGTATCTTTCGCAAGCCCTCCTACTGCGGAACCAGATGCTTACGTCCGGTCACCACAATCAGTACAATTTTATGAAAGGAAACCCAACACTACCCCCATTCATAAATGGAATATAACATACAATGGAGAAACAAGTTTACCCGAATTTTTACAACGAGTAGAGGAACTGAGAGCTTCTCGAAATTACACTAAAGCTCAATTATATGTTTCGGCCGTCGAACTTTTTTCGGGCCCAGCTCTGAATTGGTACCGATCAATTAAATTACAATTAAGGGATTGGGACGATCTAGTAGATCATTTAAAAAAAGCTTTCCTACCTTTCGATTATGAACACCGATTGTGGGAGGAGATTCGAAATCGTACCCAAGGAGCAAACGAAAAGGTCATCTTCTACGTTTCATCAATCGAAAACTTGTTCAGCCGACTACCCTGCATGCCCAATGAGGTCACTAGGCTGGAGATTATCAAAAGGAATTTGTTACCGTCACTCCAACAAGCCTTGGTACTACACGATATTTTTACGTTGGCAGATCTTGTTCGACTATGCAGAAGCATTGAGGATGGGCAACAGCGTGCCCAGAGTTTTATCCCACCGCCTACCAATTACTCTCGAATTTTGGAGCCAACCTTGGCGTATCACAAACCGCGGAGTATACCTGGCGTCTCGTCTGTGACAGAGGAACCGATACCCAACTTGGATCCGGTGCAAACTCAGCCTTGTGACGCCATACGTGCCCTCACCTGCTGGAATTGCCAACAATCAGGACACAAGTCGCAAAACTGCACACAACCACGTCGCCTGCATTGTTACAAGTGTGGAAAACCCGACGTAACTGTTCGCATTTGCCCCAAGTGTTCGGGAAACGAACCCCCGAGGAACTAAATGACCGTACGTCCTCCTCGGGAGCCCAACACCCACCGGTCAAATCTGATGAAAAATCCCGCTGTGTAACCGACACATTTGGCCCTCGTCAACAAATTTTGCTGGATTATATTCTTGCGCATGCAAAGGGAGACGAGCGTCCATATCTACAAATTACTATTTTAGATTATCCCTTACTAGGGTTGTTAGATTCCGGAGCATGCCGTACCTTGATAGGTTCTCCAGGACTACAGATTTTTAGGCAACTTGGTTTGGCTATTATCCCTAACGAAACACATGTCACCGTCGCTAATGGACAATCATGTTCAGTCATCGGAACAATCAGTACCCCAATGAATTTAATGGGAAAAATTAAACTAATCAATGTACATGTCGTTCCTGAACTAGATCATACCCTAATTTTAGGCATCGATTTTTGGCGCGCAATGGATATCATACCCGACCTCAGGAAAGACGTCTGGCATTTCACGAATTCCAACGATATCGCTACCATCTCTTCGCTTCATAATGATGATGTGTTACTGGCAGAACAACGTGCCCAATTAAATCGACTCCTAACGGAGAAATTGAATCAAGTACCTGCTGGTTTAGGTCTATGTCGAGTTGCAGAGCATGTAATCGAACTCAACCCTGGCGTCCAGCCCATCAAGCAACGATATTACCCTGTCTCACCCCATAAACAAAGGATCATCGATGAGCAGCTGGAAGAAATGTTGCGCCTAGGTGTTATTGAACCTTCATCGAGTCCATGGTCTAGCCCAATATGTTTAGTCCCAAAGAAGGATAACACATACCGTTTTTGTGTTGACTTTAGACGGTTGAACGCGTGCAGTAAGAAAGATGCGTACCCCCTGCCCTACATAAATTCGATATTGGACCAACTGAGAGACGCAACGTATTTGAGCAGCATAGATATCAAATCCGCCTACTGGAATATACCATTATCTCAGTCGTCTAAGGAGTACACCGCTTTTACCATACCCGGAAGGGGTTTATTTCAATTTAACCGAATGCCGTTCGGCCTTACCAATGCACCCGCAACTTGGCAGCGAATCATAGACAAGGTTTTGGGTGCTGACTTGCAACCGTCGGTACTGGTATATCTCGATGATATAATAATCATTTCCCGAGAATTCAACGAACATCTTCGCTTACTAGATACCGTCCTCAATCGTTTACTGATGGCAGGACTTTCTGTCAGCCTTGATAAATGCAAGTTCTGTTTGCCACAACTAAAATATCTCGGTTATATTGTTGATCGTAATGGCTTGAGGACTGATCCCGAAAAGGTAAAGGCCATCTTGGACATCCCTGCTCCAAAGAATGTGACAGAGGTTAGACGCTTTATAGGCACTGCAGCATGGTATCGTCGCTTCATTCTGAATTTCTCCACCATTATAGCTCCAATTAGTAATCTGGCAAAGAAAAATGTAAAATTTCTTTGGACACCGGAATGTGAGAAGTCTTTCCAAAAAATTAAGGAGTACTTAATTACTGCTCCATTACTTACATGTCCTGATTTCAATCGCCCATTTTGCTTACAAACAGATGCTTCGGCCTACGGTCTAGGCGCTGTTCTCACGCAGACGTTTGACGGTGAAGAACGTGTGATACAATATCTGTCAAGAACACTTACACGCCAGGAAAGGAACTACAGCACAACAGAGCGAGAATGCCTTGCTGTAATTTGGGCCATAGAAAAATTGAGACATTACTTAGAGGGAGTACATTTCCAGGTTATTACCGATCACCATTCGTTGCTATGGCTCCATCGACTGAAGGATCCACAAGGGCGTTTAGCCCGATGGTCTTTAAGGCTACAACCATACAATTTTGAGTTAATCCATCGGAAAGGCCAAGATCATGTGGTTCCGGATTTGTTAAGCCGTTCTGTATCACCACACTGTGACTTGATCACGACCCCTACTAGTACGGACCAGTGGTATAACAAGATGAAACATCAGGTGATCAACACACCTGATAAATTTCCTAATTGGAGGATTGAAAAGGATGTTCTCTATAAGTTCGTGAAACTCGCCCATCCACAATTAGCCACACCCTCCGATCATTGGAAAATTGTTGTCCCGAAATCGGATCGTAAGAATGTTTTCGTCCGCTGTCACGACGAACCTACATCTGGCCACACTGGAATCTACAAAACTGTTTGGAAAGTCGCACAACGGTACTATTGGCCTAAAATGAGGGCCGATGTAATTAAATATGTACAGCACTGTCGCACTTGTGCAGAACAAAAACCAGAGCAGAAGAGTCCTCCTGGTTTAATGGGAAACCGTCCCGACATTAATCTTCCTTGGCAAATGATAAGCCTAGATTTTATAGGGCCCCTCCCAAGATCTTCTAGAGGATATTTGTACATATTAGTTGTAGTAGATTTCTTTAGCAAATATGTGGTTACTTTTCCACTACGTACAGCAACTGCTGCATCTCTTGTTAAATGCATGGAGGAAGGAATATTTCATGTCTATGGAACACCTCAATTTATTATCTGCGATAATGGATCCCAGATGAAATCTTCTCAATTTCAAGCTTTAGCTACAAAATACCAAACCAAGATCCACTATACTGCCTTGTACTATCCTCGAGCTAATCCAGCTGAAAGAACGAATCGAGTAATTAAAACTATGCTATCGTGTTACATTAAAACCAACCATAAAAAATGGTGTCAGAATCTTTCAGCTATCACTAACGCCATCAACACCTCTCGTCATGAAATTACGGGATACACCCCTTACTTTATTAATTTTGGCAGAGAACATATTCTGTATGGGAAATGTTTCGTTGAACGTGTTCCGAACACTGACCCTCCCCTAGATGATAGACAGGAAGGATTCAAGCAAATGTACCTTAACATATATGACCGATTGAAAGTTGCCCATGAGAAAAACAAAAGTCACTATAATCTCCGACGTAGATATGTAGATTATCAAATTGGGCAGAAGGTTTGGCGAAAAAATAAAGCGCACTCCGACGCCTCAGCAGGATTTACTGCTAAACTTGCCCCAAAATTTCTTGGACCTTTTCTCATCAAACGTAAAACTGGTTACTGCACATATGAGTTGCAGAATGATGACGGTGTAAACAAAGGTATTTGGCATGTTCAAGACCTGAAACCGTGTACTTTCGAGAATGGTTAGTTGAGTATGGTCATGATCGCTTTTCTGGTTAATGACTTTAAGTTAGGGTGGTTGGTTGGGCTCGTTAGGGCAGGTTGACCTTGGAAATTTACGTCCACTTCTTTTGTTTCCTTTCAGGCGTAAATTTCGCTATTACATCTAGCCCTTCACTCTCTATCTTTCCTAGTTTCTTTCTCTTTGGGGTGG